ATAAATACAAACACAATCTGAAAACTGACTGAAGTAAAACCAAATTTAAAAACTAACACATTTTGGGCCAAACTTTGTTGGTTTTCAATTCGCTGCACCTTCGAATTCAGTCACTCTTGGAGCATGAATTGATTAAACCTGCTCAGATGAGAAGCCAAAACTTCAACGATGATGGCTCACCTCACCAACGCACTTGTGAATCTTAACTTGATACTTTCATGACAGGCTTTGGCCACAAATTGAGCAGGAAAATGGTTTCTTACCGGTGTGGGTTCTTGTGTGTATTTTTAAGTATGCCTTTTGAAAGAATCTTTGACCACAAACTGTGCAGGAAAGTCTTCTCACTAGTGTGGGTTCTTGTATGATTTCTCAAAGATGTCTGCTCTGAAAATCTTTGGCTACAAAATGAGCAGGCAAAAGGTTTCTCACTAGCGTGCCTTCTTTTATGACGTTTTAACGTTACCTTGTGAGAGAATTTTCGGCCACAGTCTGTGCAGGAAAAAGGTTTCTCGCCAGTGTGGGCTCTTGTGTGACCTTCCAAGTCTCCCTTCCGAGAGAATCTTTGGCCACAGTCTGTGCAGGAAAAAGGCTTCTCACCAGCGTGGGTTCTTCGGTGATGTCTTAAGGTTCCCTTATCTGAAAATCTTTGACCACAAGATGTGCAGGCAAAAGGTTTCTCACCCGTGTGGGTTCTTGTGTGCCGAATTAACCTTGCCTTCATAGAGAATACTTGACCACAGTCTGTGCAGGTAAAAGGTTTCTCACCAGTGTGGGTTCTTGTGTGGACTGTTAAGTGTGCCTTCTGAGAGAATTTTTGGCCACAAACTGAGCAGGCAAAAGGTTTCTCACCAGTGTGAGTTCTTGTGTGTACTGTTAGGGTTCCCTTCTGAGCAAATGTTTGACCACAAACTGAGCAGGCAAAAGGTTTCTCACCAGTGTGAGTTCTTGTGTGTATTTTTAAGGTCCCCTTCTGGGAGAATGTCTGGCCACAAACTGAGCACAAAAAAGGTTTCTCACCAGTGTGGCTAAACATATGCCTCTTCAAACTGCACTCATAAGCATAACTATTCCCGCATTGAGAACATTTCCAGGGTTTGTCACTTTCGCATGTCAGATCACCTTCAGACGGTTCATCACCGGTCTCAGTAGAATGTTGCGTTATGTCATCACCACCTGACGGTGGCGGTAAGAGGTCATCTGCTTGTGATCCTCCATCACATTCTGATGTCACGTGTTGACTTGAGATGGTGCCGCATGGAGGACCCACCCCTCCGCATGCTTCATTTTGACCAGCATCTTCACTCTTCAAAGGGCCACCAGTCAATGGCAACTTGAAAATAGACTCCTTCTCCTCCTCTTTGATGGAGGGATGCTCTTCTTCTCCATCCTTGGTGAGGAGGTGCTCTTCCTGCTCCTCTTTGATGTGAGTGTGCTCTTCCTCCTTTTTAATGAGAAGAGGGTCTGGATCCTCTTTTTCTTGAATGCAGGGGAGCTCTTCATCTTCCACTTCCTCCTTAATGTGGTTGGACTCTGGATCCTGCTTTCCAGGACCAAAATCTTCACTGACGTCTTCAAGACACAAGAAGACAAAGACAAAACGTTTAATATTGATTGTCATGTTTAAACTTTGAATTTTCGCATGGTTGTTTATATTTAATACTCAAGGTCAATTGGAACTTTAGGCTATTACAATAAAAAGGTAAAAAGGCGTTCATTGGTAAAACGATCGACCCAAAGAGGTTGCTGTAGTTTATCTGCCCGCATAAAGTCAAAATCAAATGTTATTGAAAGACCGGTGACAAAAGTTTATCATAATGACAAATGTGTCAATTTGACTGAGTGTCAGACTTGAGGTTGGGTTTTGTGTGTTTCTTTTTTTCACTCTGTCTTATCAGGGAACTGTCTCCCACTTCTCTTTCGTGAAGATGGGACCTAACAGTCACTGGCAACATTTTAGAAGATCCAGCACAAGAGACTGAAAGTTGTGTCCGCAGGATTAACGCATCCCTTTTTTTCTTTCTTTTTAAATTAGACAATGGTTTGAAGCGAGTGGTTCCGATAACAGATGGATGGATTTCAAGGAGATCCGCCTGTTTTCGAACCAATTTGCTAAACACAAACTGGACCACCTGGGGCTCAACACTTCCATGTGTAACTGGCTGCTAGACTTCCTGACGGGGAGACTAGAGGCAGTTCGGGTATGCAGAAATACCTCCAGCACCATGAGGATGAACACGGGGCCGATGCAAGGAAGTGTGCTGAGCCCCCTCCTCTTCACTCTGCTGACCCGCGACTGCAGTCCCTCATCTAGCTCCAACCTCTTCATTAAGTTTGTGGACGACATCAACAACCATGATGAGACAATCAACAGGAGTGAGGTGAGCAGGCTGGCCTTGTGGTGCAAAGACAACCATCTAGACCTGAATGTGGAGAAAACGAAGGAGATTGTTGTGGACTTCAGGAGAACGCACACCCAGCATGCTCCACTGACCATGGATGGTGCCGCAGTGGAGAGGGTGAGTAGCACCTTGGTGTGCACATCTCTGAAGACCTGACCTGGAGCCTAAATACTACCTCAGTGGCCAAAAACGCCCACGAGCGCCTGTACTTCCTCCGCAAACTGAAGAGAGCAAGAGCCCCACCCCCCATGATGCAGACATTCTGTATAGAGGCACCATTGAGAGCATCTTGACCAGCTGCATCACCGTGTGGTACGGCGCTTGCACCGTGCCCTGCCCAAAGAGTCTGCAGCACATTGTGAGAGCACCTGAGAAGACAATTGGTGTTTGTCTTCCTCCATTCGTGGACATTTACAATTCTCGTCTGACCCGCAAAGCCATCCGTATCGCAGGTGACCCTACCCACCCATCTCACAGCCTCTTCGACCTGCTGCCGTCGGAGAGGAGACTACGGAGTCTCTGTGCTACTACCAGCAAGCTCAAGAACAGCTTATTCCACCAGGCGGTCAGGAGACTCAACTCCCTCAATGTTCTGCCCCCCACTGCCTCCTGCCACAGACGGTGACCCTCCCTCAGCATTTGGCCCCCCCCCACCCCACACACACACACACACACACTGCCTCCTGCCACAGACGGTGACCCTCCCTCAGCATTTGACATCCGATTATTGCACTTAAAACAATTCACTACCTAAACTTGAACCTGCAATAATCACAAGTGCCCTTGGTTTTCTGTTGTTTGCTATTTATTGTTTTATTTGCTCATATTTATATATTTATGTCTTTATTTATTTTTATGCCGTTCAGTTTGCCGCCCTTATTTTTAGCCATGTGCGTTTCAATGCACTGCATGTTTGCACTGTGGTTAAGAGAAAAAAGTAATTCCACCTGTGGTGTATGTTGCACAAAGAGCACATTTGACAATAAATCTTGATTTGACTTGA